TTTTCAAAAAAAAAAAAAAAACAAGTCTCGCAACTCAGTTCTATCGTAAAACGTTGTCAGATCCATGTAATACCAAGTCGGTTAATTTATTCAGTCCCTACTTAAGGGTCCTTCTGTCTTAAGTTATTACGTACTTAGCTAACATAACATCTTGTGGTGACTATATCAATATTTAAAATCTTTTATGTTTTAGATAAATAGATTGACTTGGGCCATCGCATGAAAAGACAATGTGTATAATATATATATATATATATATATATATTGTGTTTCGTAATTTCGCCGCTATTGTCACGTAGCCGAGCGGTTATAGTGTCGGCCATGAAGTCTACGCTGAAGAAAGGTTCGGGTTCGAATCCCCATTCAGACTTTTTGTTTTCGTTTGATCAATTTTTATTTAGTTTTTTTATTTGTACATTTTTTTGTTGTTTTTTGTACTTATAATTTTTTTTGCATTTTATTTTTGTATAGAAACGAAATTCACAGAATACATCTACCTACTAAGTTTCAAATATGTAGTCCGAATAGTTTCGGAATAAAAGGCTGTGACACACGGACGGACGGACGGACGGACAGACATACATGACGAATCTACAAGGGTTGCGGTTTTTTCCATTCGGCTACGAAATCCTAAAATAGCTTGAAAAGGCTTCTTTATAATCATTTACAAAAAAATTAAAATAAAATTTTGAAATTTTAATAATAGAGGAAAATAAAAATTGAAAAAAGCCAACTAAAAATTAAAATTCAATAAAATCTAGTTCTCGTGTGCTAGGTCCAGGTTCATTTTCATCGACCGATATATTCCTTAATGCTGGGCGTGAGTCTCCTCTTAGAGGGTCAAAGCCACAGTCCTCATGGCGCTCCCCTCCGTGTTGGGGACTAGCATCTGATAACAAATCAGGACTGCTTTGTGTTAGAGGTTCCTCATTTTCCTTATTTTCGGATGATTTGTTTTCTTCAAGTGTCAGATTTGTCAGGTTTCCACAACTCTACGTCAAAAGCGCCTATTTTGTGTGATCGGTGGGGGCTCACTACTCGAGCCAACCTATCTCTTCAAGAAACCCAAGCATCCCATTTAGATTGCCAAGGGCCTTGGAGATCGACCCTGATGATCCGAGGAATTTGGCCCGTGGTATGGGCATAAGAAATCTGACAATTGAAGAATACAAATAATAATAATAGGTAAAACTGTTCCTCCCTAGTATACTGTGTAATATGTATACAATGTACTTACGCATACTGCCTCTCCTTGGAGTGCCCATCGGTACTTTTTTTGGACATCAAAGTACCTTTATCGGTACGAGATCTCAGAGCACTGGAATGGAATAAATAAATATACAAAATTTCAAAAAGCAAAAAAAAATGAATTACTAGAGTTAGTAGGTATCAAAAATATAGGTGAATGTTACTATAGGATTTAAAATTCTTGTCATACTGACTTCGCTAGTCTGTGCAGCTTAGCTAGATTACAGTAAATTATATTGTGACGAATCCACCTACTAAATACTTACACCTACAAATACTAAATAGTGGAACATTAGAAAACGAAAATAAAAATTGTCATACTGATTTAGCTAGTCTATGTCCCTGTTAAAGTAGATATCTAATTATTCCAATATGTATTTTTTTTATTGTAAATGACCTGTTGATGTTACGCTAGGGCTAGGTTATAGGAACTTATTAAGTACTTACGCAATACACTTTCGGATCTTCTTCACTTTAGATAGGCTTTTTTTCCTAATTTTGTATTTTTTATTCGCCATTTTAATTAAATCATAACTTAAATATTTATTTACAAACACTGTTTAAAAAACATAGGTCAGTATACTTAGATACGAGTATTGTCTTTTTAAACTAATTTCTATTATATTACATATAATACAACAAGTTTTTATGCTAGTAGGTAGGTACTACTACGCGAGCGGCGACGACAACGTACTCGCGAGCAAAAATAGCACAAGTACTCCCTCGATGACGTTCGGCTGGACACTGGCGGGGCGGCACTGGCGTGGTGCGCGCGAGTCGCTTTTTACGTATTTTATTTTATATAGAAAAAAATAAGTGCCAAATTATAAATCTATCCAATAATATCCCTGTCAAACCTGATTAGTAAATGAAATGTAAAATTTTCATAAATATAGCGTTCCCCTAATTCTCATAAAACTGAAAATACTTTCAAAATCGATGTTACTTCCGATTTTTTTTATCGAGTTAAATGTTAAATATTGTGTTTTTATCCAAAAAAGTCACTAGATCAAACGTTTATCTGTACTATATATTTTTTTAGGATTTTAAATATGATGATTTCTTTGAAAACAACACGATTTAGAAACATAAATTTGGGAAAAGGGGCCCTTAATTTTTTCCGTCTAGCCACCTTTCGCAACACGCGATAAGGAACTTCGTTCCAAAAATGATCAGCTGATCAGCAGAGTTTGAAAGCTTAATTAATAACCGATTATTTTTATATTTTTTTCGGAATGAATAAGTTTTAACTATTGTTTTCGAGTGATATCATAATTATGTAAAGAACTGTATACATTGTCCATTATCTTGATCATGTACATACGTGAGACGTGTACGTTAAAGTACGTATTACTATTATTTATTCTGTGGTTAAAGTAACAGTACAGTGAAGTAATAAATCATGAGCTGAATTGCTATAATATAAATGTAAAGAAGTGATTGAAATCATATTGGTAATTTTTACTTGATCATGTAAACACTTGACCCGTGTTCGTGAAATAAACTTCAATTTTTTAATAAATAGCAAAATGCTATTGAGTAAAAGGGAAAATTAGTAATGGTTAACCAATAATGAAGTAAATAATAAATATATGAAGTAACAAAAATAAGGAAATAAAATATGAAAATGAAAAAAAGTATGTTTCGATATGACAAGATGAGTGACTAAGTGACTAGATAACTAAAATCTTTGGTCTAGTGGTGGTAGTTGTGCGACTGCTGATCGTGAGGTGCTGGGTTCGAACCCGGGTCAGGCCAAAGAAGTCAATCATTGAGTTTTTCCGTCAAGAAATTATGAGTAGTTGCCCGGAGTCAGGAAGTTGGCGGTGTCTCACTCCCGTGCCTCGGAATCACGTACAGCCGTTGGTCCTGCGCCTGATCTCTTCCGGTCGTGTGGGTTTAACGTCCCGTCGGATTATGAGAGTGAAGCAATGATGGTGTATATTATAAAGGAGGTAGATGACGCATGCTGATACTTCACGTCTTTCTAAATTTGTTCCGTTTTGACGTATACATACTTATTATATCTATACACGAAGTTTTTTCAAACGACTGTGAAGGAGTATATGGATAGTACGCGTGGGAAACAGATAGTTGATAATTAAAGACATTATGACGTTCAAGTTAATGCTATCCCTTTTACACACAGTTAAAATTGTATTCTCTGTCCTTTATTTACAACAAAGAAAATTTCTTCTAAAAAACGTAATAATTATTAAATTTAATGTAAAATGATCAAAATGTACGATAATTTTGAAGAAACCTACGTGTGATACGAAACTCCTTTGTCTTTTTTTTATTTTGGAATAATAATTTTTACATTTCCGCATCACACAACTCGGCATTTCAAAGATATTTTTTTGCGTTAGCAATTGTGATCCAGTTCGCGGTTTCCGCCACAGAGTACTTTTTGTATACCTGAAAGTTTCCGCGCCACTAAATAGAATTCTTATAATTGTGTGAATTTCAGTTCAACACTTTTCGTGCGCATATGCCTCATTATTCAAATATGTCCAAGTCGAAATCTACGCGATCGCTTTGGATCGGCGTAATATTGACGCACACTACAATGTTATCTCTGTGTGCGTGTCAGGCGAGCGTGAGGCTATAATAGTTGCCTAACGACGACTACGAATCACTTTGATATTTGATTATGGGTCAATCAACTATTCTTTGTACGCAAACAATTCGATTCAAAAAATAAATTAAAAAATAAAAGTGTAAATTAATTGTAAATTCTACCTGAGCAATCAAAAGTAAGGATATAGAAAATTAAAACTAAGCTATCAGCGGTGCAAGTTTTTAATAATTAAGCATATTTTTCCGAATTTAAAATGTTGTTGTTCACGTTTTTCGTCCCCTGTGTTACTTACTGATATATGGTTTTCATTCGAATAAAACAGTTACATATTGTTAGAAAATCGGTTTATTAAGTAATGCTAAGAAATATATATCCAACAAATTAATTATCAGAAGAAGACTTATGATAATAACAAACTTATACAATGTTATTGTGTCTCTTAAGTTACTTTTCAATGTTTTGAGAAATAATTTTTAATATTTAAGTTCAAAGTCACTAATGTACAAACTAACTTTTCAAGATATGTGAATTTATTACTTTGCCAATTCTCGTAAATATAATTTTGATGTAAGAAAATACTTTTTCATATGATTCAGTTGCAATGAATCTTTTCAAATTTTAGGGACAAATCAGTAACTTCAGAGACATTTCGGTAACTTAATAGATATATTATTATATCCTGAAAATTGGTTTATTTATCACGAACATTATTATGGATACGTAACACAATAAGAAAGTATAAAAAATAAACTTAACAAGAATTTTTTTAAAAATTAAAAAAAAAACGAAATGCCCTCTAATAATATAAATATAATTAATTTGAACCAGTAACAATATCAAGTTATTTTTAAGTGTTACTGTGGCTTGTCGCCTTTTTTAATCTTTGTACTATTTAATATCACTTATTTTCTTGAATAACATTATAGTTTACTATTAACGTAACATAGGTAGGCTCAGTAAAATCTTAGTCGATAGTTTCTTTAATATCAGTCTTCTAATCAGTATATTATGTACTATAAGTCAAAATTCAGATTCAGATTCAAAAGTAATTTTATATTATCATTGTAATAATGAGTAATAAAATATTATTTTTCATATATGTCTAATTGTTCTTGAAAATTATAATAGACTTTTCCGTTCTTAATTATTTGTTTTGGTTTAGGGAGAAGTTTTATAATATTAAATCGTTTTCGTCTAATTTAAACTTAGTTGCACCCTTGTATGCCCGGAGAAATATCACTTTAATCTCGCCATCGTCTTCGAGATCACTTTGTGCAAGGCTTGCGTAAGTATAAGTTTTATTCTTACCAGCGTGGACGTTTACTAAAAGGAAATCTCCGTTACTTGGCAGCATTTTATTATTCCCAGAAGTCGTAGGCTGATTTTCTTCATTAGATGCGTCTATGGAACAGTAAACCATATCGTAAACAGTTCCTCGTTTACCCGCGTCCTTGGCTAAGTCTGTGTAGTTTATTTCTGCTAGTGGCTTGCTAGCAGTAATTACTATAGCTCCGGAACACCTTGATTTGATTCTGTTAAGAGGTACATCATCGTCAGAAGACATAGAAGATGAAAGAGTGTTAACTATATTATTATCACCACATGCACCAATAGCATATGCTGAATCCGTAGGAGATGAAGGAATCACCATCGCAGTATCATTGTCGACTGATGCATCAGCAGTTGTTGTTGATACCAGAGGAACAGGATGGTAAATTTTAAGTTCTAAACACTTGCAAAATCCCCGTTCGCAAAAACAACTCAACGTACGATGCATTAATTCACCGTATGTGGAAGTGAACTGGTGCACGTGGAAAGTACCTTGTAATCTTGTAATGTTTCTTGGAAGCTCTTTTGAAATATTTTCGATATCTTCTTTAGTTATTACATACAGTATAATCTTGCTCGTTCCCTGCAAAGCACTAACGAATTGTTCAATGTTTGATATGTCCTTCCCTCTGGCAACAATACCGTCTGCTGTTCGTTTTAAAAAACCACCAACGCCGTCAGCGGGTCCTTTGCCATGGCCGGCTTCAAAAAATGAACAGGTCACCCCTTAAAGTCATACTCAAAGGGTTTTGTACAAGCTAAATAAAAATTCTGTTTTTGCCTATATTGCGTGAAAGGAACATCGTTAAAAAATGAAGAATTTTTACTTCAGGAAACCTCAATTTGATATTTCGCAATATAGGATGCAAATGCGCCCAAATTGCAGCAGGCTGATGAAGAGTATGAGATGATACGGTACAAAAAGTTTCAGCAATAATTTTTTTTATCCAAATTGACCATGTAAACCATAACCGTGTGGAGCGAAAGTTGCTGCCTGGATCCACCAAAGTGATGTGCCTGTACTTCCTCATTATATTTGCAGTTGTAGTTTTCGCTAAAATCTACTAGAATGGTGGCTTCGCATAGTTGCATTTCATCGATGCAGCGTCTAAAGTTTTTGTATTGAGTTTTTATATTATATACATGCTTTTTCAGTAGAATCAGCTCTATTTCGAAATCTTTTATTATGTATTCTATTTCTACTTCTTTAGTTTCTTTCACATTTTTAATAGATTTAATGTGTTTTCCGTCTTTAATATATCTGTCCTCTTTTCTAGTCCATTCGCTAAAATACACTTTACCTTTAATCTTTGTTTTGTCATAGTTAAGCTTCTTTTTATTACATTCATGACAAGATCCATACAATCATAATCAAAATCCCAAACAGTGTACATTATTATCACTCAAATCTTTTGTTTCCAGTATCCGTTTACCATGTAATGCTATTTGCCTTGTACATTATGTTGGAATGAATTTTGCACAGGCACATCTTACGCCCATCGACTGATGGTACTTTTATATACCAGGGCCGATTTTTGGTAAAATAAAAATAAGAACATCTCATATCTGGATTTTCTTGCTTAAAGGTTTTATAGAGATTCTTCATAGTATCCAAAAGATATCTCTTTTGGACTTTATGTTTATCTTTCGTGACTGTTTCTTTCTTACCTGCTGTGGTTCTCGATACATCATCTCGCTTAAAGAAATTCTTAATTTTGTTTTGCAAATCTGTCTTACCTTTATTTCGCTTTAAACTCGATCTCATTGTTCCTACTAAATTCAAACTATCCTTCAACAACTGTTTCTTTACTCTCAATTCACGTACTGTAGAGCCAATGAATATTCGTGTAAATAATCGTTTTTCAGCCATTTTTTTAATATTCCTTTATCTTTGACTTATAGCGCCTGTTAAAATTATATTTCTTTGAGTCTGTATTCTTAAATTCTTCCTGGTTTTTATTTTTAATTCGATAAAACCTTTTCTCGTATTTTTCATACTTGAGTTTTAGTTTTTCGTTTTCCTTTTGGAGCTTTTGGTTTTCTATTTTGTTCTCCCTTCTTACAGCTTTCCTTCCTCTATTTACTTTACTTGTACTTGAACTCACAGCAGGGGAAACTATTCCTTGGCTTCGAAGCAATATTTGCTCATTGTCAAATTGATGTGGTGCAGGAGATCCAGGAGGTGTAATATAATTACATTTTCAAGCGCTCTTTTGCGTTGACGTTGTTGGCGTTTACGGAGCTTCCAAATTGTCCGTGCATTACTTTTCTCCTTAGCGGATAAATCTTTAATCAGTCTTTTATTTTTGTGATAGTGTGTTCTTTGCTTTTTTTAGTTTCTTTATATTTTAGCGGATCTTTTTTTTAATTTCTCCCGATATCGTTTTTGCTTTTCAGCCGCTGTAAGAGCCATGTTTATGATATGTCTGTAACAAAAACAATTGTGTTTACTACTAACGACCGACCCGGCTTCACAAAGGCGGTTAGAAATAGAACAACTTCAAATGATACAACGATAAATGTCCACCGAGTTACCATTAGGTCCCCTAAGTTACCATTTACAGTAACTCAAGGGATCGGTAACGGAGGAGACTTTTATAGGTTATTACTTAATCATAATACTTTTTCTCAAGAATAATACATAATTGATTGTTACAAATGAAAAACAGACGTATTTAATGTAATTCATGACAATTATTGCATGTATTAAAGAGTACTTACCAATTTTTACGTTGAAACTCTGGGGACACCGAATAAACACATACACGTTATCATACGCCACGCGGGCAACTTGCTGTGATTGGTTAAAAATCAAAATGGCGGAATCATATGACACGAGTACCAGTAAGTCAATGCTTCGATCGTAGACAGAGAAACCTATAGACTAATGATCGGCGTGGCCTCGAGTGAGAAAGGACGATAACGAATTTTTAGGTTATACAATAATCTTTATGACTTTTTAACACATTTAGATAAAAATTTTAATTGTTCTAAGAACTGAACTGAACAAGATTCACCAATCTTACGCTCACAAAACACTTTTTTCTCACTTAAAACAACTTGTAAACTCCCTAAATCGCTAGTAAAAGTAAAATTTCGGGACGGAAGGTAAAAATATTCGGGGATTTGATTTTCACATCCGGACAACTATAATGACTACAAAATATAGGTTTCTTTGTAGCCTTTTTGTGCTTTATTGAGAGCCGTGGTAGCTCAGATGGTCAACGCTCACTGTAAATATCACAGTATGTGAGTAATGCGAGAAATTGTGACTGTAACTTTACTTTACTTTTGTGCTTTATAATTATTATTCGGGTCTGATCTCATAAACGAATAACTTTTCATCCAAACATCGTAAAAACTGAACTTTTTTCATTTTAGGCAAATTAAAACATTTTTGAACTATTTGTTTTTTTTTGCAGTCCCTGAATTTTTCAAATCACTCATTTTAATATAATTCTGTTTAAAACTTTTGGTTTTTTTTTCGACTGGTGAGACAATGTCGTAGTAAAAATATTTTAATGTGGTAGAAGCTAACAGATGTAATCGTTTTTGCTGTCAAAATTATGGATTAAAGTATAGAATAAGGTTAGTGAAAATCGGGACATTTGGCGTCCCGATCAAGGGTGAATCGGTACGTGTCACTAGACCCTTGAAAATCGGGACGTCCCGCGCAAATCGGGACACCTGGCAACACTAGTGGAGATTGAGCTCGGATTGTTCGCGTTTACGGCGAGCACTACGCCCTTGAGCTACTCGACTCAAGCACGGCTCATATGTTTTATATCCGCCAAGTCGAGCAAAACAGCGGCACGGCCGTATCATCATTGCGAGACTTGGTTATTTTACAAGTTATGTTTTTGATGGCATGTCTTTGTTTAATCATAACGTTATTTCCACACTAGGAATTTTTCCTAAGTACATCGTGGGGGCAGTTTAAATACATTAATTTCACAAGGACAAACATCCAGACCTGGAACAATTATTTTATTTTTTATTTATTTATTTATTTTATTTTCAAGGGAAACATACATAATTTTAGTCTAATACATAACACATATTAATCTTACAATTAACAATAAAGTTTCCACAGTTAAGTAACTCATCGACAACAAGCAAGCATCATAACATACTTTGGTGAGTAGAACTAAAATTAAGTTTTGGCAAAATATAATATTAATGTGAAATATCAATTTTACCCATTACAGTTTCAATTTCCTTCTTAAACTGTCTATATGACAGAGAAAATACATCAACATCTGAAAAAATGTTATTATAAGAATTACATGCACGAGTTATAAAATTGTTCTTGCCATATTTTGTGCACATAGTGGAAGTACAAAATAAAAGTTTCTTTCTAGCACTTATCCTTTGGCATCTAAAATTTATTTCACTTAGACGTGGTATGGAGTCGACCCTATTATGAATGATTTTATATAAAAACATCTGATCGCTGATAGTACGACGAGATTTTAGGTCAGAGGCTAATCTACACAAAACAGAGGCATCACCGGCTGATCTAAATTGTATATGCTTCAGAAATTTATTGTGAATTTTTTCAATTGACTCTATATAAATATTATATTGAGGATTCCAAACTGTTGAGCAGTATTCTAATATTGAGCGGACCAATGAGTTATACAAAATAATTAGAGTTGAGGGTTTTTTTAAAGTCTTTAGTAATTCGTAAGACAAATCCAAGCATCTTATAGGACTTGTTAACGATTTTATCAATATGAGATTTAAATATTAATTTTTGATCCAAATATACGCCCAGGTCCCGCAACTCAGTTACTCGATCTATCGATTCATTATTTATTTTATAATCAAATTTTATAGTTTTGGTTTTCCTGCTGAATGTAATAACATTACATTTTTTTATATTTAAGAATAATAGATTATTTGAACAATATGAGTATAATCTATTAATATCTTCTTGTAGTAGCTCACAGTCATGTTCGTTTTGAATAACTTTAAAAATTTTCTTATCATCAGCAAATAGAAGTATGTTAGAATGTTGGAATTGCAAAAGAACGTCATTTATATAAATATTGAACAAAAGAGGACCGAGATGCGAGCCCTGAGGAACACCCGAAGATATTGGTAAAAACGAAGAACAGTACCCCTTAACTGCTACCGCTTGAGTACGATTACGCAAGTAAGATGCTAGCCAGCGCAGGAGGTCACCGTGCACACCGATTTGGTCTAGTTTTTTGATAAGGATTTCATGACATATTTTATCAAAAGCTTTGGAATAATCGGTGTACACGGCATCCACCTGTAGCCCTGCATCCATTGCTTTGTGAACAATATTAAGATATTCGCATAAATTACTCTCTGTAGATTTTCTAGTCATGAAACCATGCTGCTGGGTCAACAAGGCGGGTCTGATGGTAGGGTATATAGCATCATACACTATTTTCTCAAAAAGCTTCGGGATAGTATTAAGTTTGGATATCGGACGATAATTTTCTATATCTTGTTTATTACCGGACTTAAATACAGGTGTAACAAAGGACTGTTTCCAGGCATATGGCGTCACTCCCGTTTTCAATGAAAGATTAAACAATCTAAAAAGCGGCTCGGATAATTGCTTGTAGCAGTTCTTCAATAAAATTGGAGGAAGCCCGTCTGGACCAGCGCCTTTATTAGTATTAATGTTTTTGAGGTATGATTCAATTTTTGCTTTATCTATAAAAATGTGGTTGAGATTAATCAGGTTATTTCCTTGGTTGACATCGATATGATCATGATCAGATTGACTATGAGATTCAAATACCGAGTTAAAATACTGATTAAACAAATCACATATGTTCTCGCCGCTAGATGACCTAACATCTCCAATAAACATTGAGTCAGGTAAATCATTCATATTTTTCCTTTTTGATTTAACATATGCCCAAAAGTGTTTACTATTGTGAGAGATCTTAGATTCAGCATCAGATATAAAATTATTAAAACACTCCTCCTGCAACACTTTCTGCCTTTCTCTAAGTAGTCTAAATGTATTATAATCAGTTACACGGCCATATATTTTCGATTTCCGATGATATTTTAATTTTTCATTAATTGTTTTTATTAGTACTCGATTAAACCATATAGGGTATTTATTTTTAGTGTGAATGACTTTGACTGGAACAAACTTAATTATAATATCATTAATTATATTATAAAAAGTTTTAATATTATCATTAATATCATTCGAAGTGAAACATTCATTCCAATCTATGTTAGAAAGAGCATGATTTATGCTATCATAATTGGCTGACTTAAACAACGTAAGGGACTTGGTGTTTTGGCTGAGTGACTTCTGCTTACAAATCCAGACATCACAACAAAAAGCTGGGTGATGTTTATCCTCAGGTACAAGAGGCTCAGAAGCTGATACACTACAATCCACGTTTGCAATTACTAAATCAAGCACTCGGTTATTACCATTGTAAATTAAATTAAATTGTTTAAAGTCATTAATGGAAATAAAATTAGATAAATCATTTACATAGTCGACATTAAAATTTCCAGAAAGGATGGAAAATGAAACATTTTTAACAGGCAACCACTCAGCACAAGGGATATTAAAGTCACCAAAAATAACATAATATTCGCCCTGATATTGGATTGCCTTTTTAGTTATGTATTCATAAAAGTTACTTAAAACTTCTTTTTTGAACATTGCAATGCGGAAAATAGCACGAGTATAAGTTATAAATGTTTTTTGAGGTTCCATTGAGCGATATAGCGACTGATATAATTTCAGCTGCCGAATTTACAACAGGAACAGTTATACAATTACGTACATTTAATTTTCGATGTACAGCTATTAAAACCCCACCCCCCATCTTATCGCCCCTGATTGCATGGTTTCGATCG